TATGTACATTTAGACTTCAACGACCTTACATTTTAATTTTCTTTAAATTTTTGTGCTGACGATATTTGGATGTTATAATGCAGTCAACTATCATTGGACTCGGTACGTTAAATGTAAGGCTTCTTTCACTCTCTCTCCTCTTTTATCTCTATTTATGTTAGAGAAAGATACCATTGAAGGACCAAATCCTTGAACTGCTAAAATGTTTATGAAGAAATTGTCTTGCATTATCTGAAAATTTTCTTTGTGAAGCGCATTTAAATATTCAGAACACATTTTTTCTTCCTCATAGGTTATATTAAATTAGCAGATTATGTTCTTTATGCTATAATACAATATTATCTTTAACTTAAACATAGGTACGAAACACTTAAAATTTTGATATGTGTCTTTACTATAAATTGTAAATTATTAAATATACACACTAACACACACAAGCAAATACACTCACATAAATATTAGTCTAATGTAAAATCAAATGCAATATTGTATAATTAAGTAATATTTATATCTCAATCATGATTGGATAAGTAAAAATAAATATATTTATTCTGAGAGTAACAAAAAGAAGATAAATGAAATGGTCGAAATTCAACCTTTTGTCTTTAAAATAAATAAAAAAAGGTCTCAGAGGAGCAAAAGTAGCCAAGGGAACAAGGCAGTGAATCCACCATACATGCGCAGGTTCTTTCTTCTTATTGGATTAATGGTTTACTTGCAGGGGCCCTCCCAATAGTTCTCCGGTTGATCCTCGGGTTGATAATAGGTAAGCTCTTTCCATTTTATACAGTGATGTCATTTGACATTACAATATAGAAATTTGTATCTTAAATGCAGAATTTCTAAAATCTTGTGTGTTAAATTACTTGCTTTTTGTATACTTCAAATCAGCAATTTAATGTACAAAGGGTCTAAAACTCAACCACAGTAGAAAAGTTTCATATCCACAATTTCAGTGCCAACTTTTATGAAAATTTTCAATTAAAATTATTATTTTCGAACATTTCTATTTTAGGTTCATTTTCATGCATGAATTTCTGTCCCATTTTTTCTTTAATTCAGTCATATTTTTCTACATGCATATGAGAAATAAGGAAGGTTGAGCTGAGTCAAAGAAGTTAAGTTTTGAATTGAAATTTAAATTATTCCTTCCTATCTGGTTTTAAAAGCTATGGGTGGGTCGAGTCAACCCCCACTCGGAGAACCAGACACATTCTTACAACATATATATATATATATATATATATTTATTTATTTACACGTAAAGTTAAAATTTTTCTCTACTTTTTACCACACATTTTCCAAAAAAATTACTATTATAAAACATATTCTACATATAAATGGGGCTGAAAAACAACCTAAATGCAAAATAGCTTTTCATGTGCCAGGCAAAAAAAGATTTCCTAGTAGTATCATGTCTTTGCCAAATAATATTCTAATTATTCTTCTCGTTTCTAAATGAACAGCAATCGACCTTGTACTAAGGATCTTAATTGCAATTCCATTCGTGCTTGTATTACTTGTCTATAAACTGAGAAGAAGACACATATCAATGTTTAAAGCAATAGAAGACTTTCTACGCAGTCAGAATAACCTGATGCCCATCAGTTACTCCTATTCAGAAATAAAGAAAATGACCAAAGGTTTTCGGGAAAAATTAGGTGAAGGAGGTTATGGTTTAGTTTACAAAGGAAAGCTTCGAAGTGGAAGGGATGTAGCAGTGAAAATACTGGGCAAAAATAAATCAAATGGACAAGATTTTATCAATGAAGTTACCACTACTGGAAGAAATCATCACGTTAATATAGTTCGACTCGTTGGTTATTGTGCAGATATGTCTAAGTGTGCTCTTGTATATGACTTCATGCCTAATGGTTCACTTGAGAAGTACATCTCTTGTCAGCAAGGTGGAACTCATTCATTAACTTGGGAGAAAAAGCATGCGATTACACTTGGAGTTGCTCGAGGGATTGAGTATTTGCATCGAGGCTGTAACATGCAAATTCTGCATTTTGATATCAAGCCACACAACATACTTCTTGATGATAACTTCACTCCTAAAATTTTTGATTTTGGGCTAGCCAGATCTTACCCAACTGGAAATAGTATTGTGACTATTACTGCTGCACGAGGTACAATTGTTTATGTAGCTCCTGAATTGATCAACAGAGGCATTGGGGCTGTCTCGTACAAGGCAGATGTTTATAGCTTCGGAATGTTGTTGATGGAAATGTTAGGTCTAAATAGAGACTTGATACAAAATACGGAACTTTCTAGCCAATACTTCCCCGATTGGATATATGATCGTTTTAACAAGGGTAAGGATCTTGAAATTGGAGATGCTGATGAATCAGGCTGTGAAGAAATGAAGATTACTAGGAAGATGACAATAGTTGCATTATGGTGCATACAGATGAATCCGATGGATCGTCCTTCAATGAGTAAAGTAATAGAAATGCTTGAAAGTAAAGTTGAGACTCTGCAAATTCCTCCTCAGCCTTGCCAACCACCCCTACAGGTTGCGCCACCTGAGGACCAAACATGGGGAACAGATTCAACCAACTCCATAGCCTTCCTATGCAATGCTTCTAATTCTTTGAATTTAGCCGTTGAGTGATTATCATTACCCACCAATACTCAAATTGATATAATGTCCCTTTTTACTCTCCGTTTAGTTTCTTGCTTTATGGTCATGCAATTCATTGCTAATTAGTTAGAAACATGGGTGTGTTGTATTGTGTAATGTTGTTTGGTAATGTGTAATGTATAATTTGTGCAGTATTAACGAAGAAACGAAAGTTGAATTCTCGTCCACTATGCATGCAATAAGAATGTTAGCAATTATTGTAGCAGTTTAATAAAATTATTGTTGGAAATGGTTTATTTTTAGTTAATTGGGTCAACTTTGAGCTTCGATTTGAGTGAGACCGGTTCTTCAATTTTAACGGGATCTAGTATATTCACGTTCTATTTATTAAAAATTGCCGAACACTTATCCCACATAGAAAAGTTATGAAACTTTGGCATGGTTTATATAGTGTATGTTTGGGAATTATGTTTAGGCCCCAAGGGGTACCAATAATTTTTGGAAGGAGGAGACATATATCTTATTGGGTTCGATCCTAAGCCCGCGCATGCAGCTGCCCCTGTCCGTCCAACCAGCTTAGCATGGCATGGGCACGGTCTGGTTCATGTTCGGGTACAGGTGGGTCCTTGTACTATATTTACTATTTCGACAAAATTTATTTAAATTCTTCGGGCCAAATTGTAATTAATCAAATTTTGATTAACTTATTTTCGAGTATTTTTTGGTCAGGACAGTTAGTTAATCGTTGAAATGGACGACTATTAATCGACGTAATAGTTATCGATTAACCGACTTAACAGACACAATACTAAATAATGCTGTCAGATCGAGGTTGGAGGTTGTCCGAACGGTGACAACTATTCTAAAAGGGCTTGAAGGATGTTCAATTGGGCACGAACGAGTCTATAAATAGGTTGCCTCGTTGCCAAAATAATTATACCATTTTCATTGCAAACGTTCTCAGCTTTAAATCACATTCTCCTTCTCTCTCTCGTTCTGATATTGTTGTCGAAGTAAAAACACTTCATTAAGTTCATTGGAGCTCCTACAGATTGTTATGCTACTTCGGTAGGAGACAAAATTCGTTCTATCCTGAGAAATGATTGTTGAACAACTTTAGCCCCTGTGAAGGCATTAAAATCGCTTTAATTGAATTCCATTCGTGCTTGGATTACTTATCTATAAACTAAGAAGATGACACGTATCAATGTTTAATGCAATAGAAGACTTTTTATACAGTCAGAATAACCTGATGCCCATTAGCTACTTCTACTCAGACATAAAAATGACCCAAAGTTTTCAGAAAAAATTGGGTGAAGAAGATTATGGTTCAATTTACAAAAGAAAGCTACAAAGTGGAAGGGATGTAGTAATGAAAATACTAAGCAAGTCTAAATCAAATGGACAAGATTTCATCAATGAGGTTATCATTACTGGAAGAATTCATCATGTCAATATAGTTCGACTTGTTGATTACTATGTTTATATGTTCAAATGTGCTATTGTATATGACTTTATGCCTAATGGTTCACTTGAGAAATATCTCTCTTGTTAGCAAGATGGAACTCATTCATTAACTGGGTAGAAAAAGCCTATGATTACACTTGGAGTTGCTCAAGGGATTGAGTACTTGCATCGAGAATGTGACATGCGAATTCTGCATTTTGATATCAAGCCACACAACATACTTCTTGATGATAACTTAACTCTTAAAATTTCTGATTTCAGGCTAGCCAAATCTTACTTGACTGGAAATAGTGTTGTGATTATACATGCAATAAAAATGTTAGCATTTATCGTAAGAGTTTGATAAATTATTGCTAGAAATGGTTTATTTTTAGTTAAATGGATCAATTTTGAGCTTCAACTTGAGTGGGACCCTTTCTTTGATTTTAATGGGATCAAGTATATTCACGTTCGACTTCACAAGATGATTAACATGATATATTAATTTACGAAAAGTCGTTTAGAATTGAATGAAATATTTGATATCAAAATAACCCACTTAAAACTATAAACTAGTGAATAATTTGATTTATTTAAAATTGCCAAACACTCATCCCACGTAGGAAAATTAGGAAACTTTAGTGTGGCTTATATAGTATAAGTTTGAAAATATAGTTTGGGCCCCAATGGTTGCCAATAGTCTTTGATAAGAAGAGGCCTATATCCTATTGGGTTTGATCCAAAGCTAACACACGCACACCGTTGTCCTCACGCATTCGGCTGACTCAGCATGGCAGGGCATGCTCCAGTCCGTCTTCGAATGTGAGTAGGTCCTTGTAATATATTAACTTTTTGGACAAAATTTAATCAAATTTTTTGGGCTAAATTGTAATTAATCAAATTAACTTTTTGGATAGAATTTATTTAAATATTTTCATCCAAGTTGTAATTAATCAAATTCTTGGATACTTAAATAATTAATTTTAATTGGCTATTTTCAAGTAAGTTTTTTGGTTTGAATTGTCTGCTAACTGACGAAATAGTTGTCTGTTAACCGACACAACAGGCAATTTTTAACCAACGTGACAATCATCGATTAATCGACTTAACAGACACAAAACTGAACAATGCTGTCTGTTTGAGGTTGAAGGCTGTCTGAACAATGACGAATATTCAAAAGAGTTTGAAAGATGTTCGAATGGTCACGAATGAGTTTATAAAAACTTGCCTTGCTGCCAAAATAATTACACCATTTTCATTGCAAACATTCTCCGCTTTGAATCTCATTCTCCCACACTCTCTCTCGTTCTGAGATTGTTCTCAAAGTGAAAACACTTCATTGAGTTCGTTGGAACTCTTACAAATTGATGTACTGCTCCTATAGGAGACAAAATTCATTTTATCTTGAAAAACAATTGCTGAACACTTTCAACGCCGATGAAAGCAGCATAATTATTTTAATTGAATTCCATTTGTGCTTGGATTACTTGTCTATAAACTGAGAAGAAGACACTTATCAATGTTTAATGCAATAGAAGACTTTCTACGCAGTCAGAATAACATGATCCCCATCAGTTATTCCTATTTAGACATAAAGAAATTGACAACAGGTTTTCGAGAAAAATTGGATGAATAAGGTTATGGTTCAATTTAAAAAGGAAAGCCACGAAGTTGAAGGGATGTAGCAGTGAAAATACTGGGCAAAAATAAATCAAAATGGTCGGTTGACCCAGCCATACTTTCAAATTTTCTATCGACAACTTAAAAAAAGAGCTAAAAATCAAAATAGATGTATATTTACAAGTTGTCAATTTTACCATCATCTTCAACCAAGGAAGATATGAGAGAGAATGAAGAAAAAAGAAGATAAAATTTCACACTAGCGACCGTAACAATTGGATCAGATCGAGAGTTGCCATCCCTACAGTCTACCGATGTCGGCAACCACAGAACTTAATTATTATCTTCACAAAGTTTGTTTTTTGTGGGATTAAGAGAATGATTTTTTATTTGTCAAACCTTGTAAATTTGTGATTTAAATTGTTATGCATAATGTTTATTCTTCAATATTTAAGTAGATTAATGGTTTTTAATTAATTTTTGGCAAAAAAAAAATTTCTATTTCCGGCGAGGTAGTCAACGAAAACCTACTTTTCGAAATAGTCGATTTTCACCTACTAGTCGGCCCACAGCCGGCCCGAACCAACTGTTAAAGTCGTCAGCTGAATAATTTTTCATTATTATTTTCATTTCTAAATGTACAGCGATCAACCTTGCATTGAGGATCTCAATTAGAATTCTATTCGTGTTCGGATTATTTCTCTATTTATTGAGAAAAAGACAATTATCAATGTTTAATGCAATAGAAGATTTTAAATTAGAATAACCCGATGCCCATCAATTACTCCTATTCAAACATAAAGAAAATGACCAAAGGTTTTGATGGGAAATTTGGTTGAGGAGGTTATGATTCAGTTTTCAAAGGAGAGCTTTGAAGTGGAAAGGATGTAGCAATGAAAATAATTGACAAAAATAAATCCAGTGGACAAGATTTCATCAATGAAACTACCACTACTAAAGGAATTCATCCTATCAATGTTGTTCGACTTGTTGGTTATTATGCATATATATCCAAGTGTACTCTTGTACGACTTCATGCCTAATAGTTCATCTGAAAAGTACCTCTCTTGTCAGTAAGGTAGAATTCAATCATTAACTTGGGA